GGCACCCGGATGATGGTTGATATCCACAGGGGTAATAAGCTCGCGTGTTTGAGTACGCATAGTTTCGTGGAGCGTCTCAAAGATCTTCTCATACTACTCCTGGAAGACCTCATTCTTCATTGCTATTTTATTGTTTTGAGTTTCTAGCTCATCAACTTTAGCTTGAAGAGCAACCCTCTTTCCTTCCTTCTTTCGTTGATTCGCATTAAGTGTAAGATGGGTGTCATTCTATGTGTTGTGGCTTCCTTCGCTCCCTATGTTGGAGAGGGATGCCTGGTCAAAAGAGAGTGTACGAATGGTGGAAACCAGCTTGACAAAGCTGAAGAAAGTGGGAATAAGTGTCGTTCCCACAGACGGCGCCAAATGTTGATGCACAAAATCAGCGAGGACTTTGGTACAACAGAAAGTGTTAAGTTTGTGACCTTCACTAGATTGCTCCGGTCACTAGTGTGGATAAGTAAGTAAATGGATAGGGACAGGGAAGTAAACACAAGATGTATGTGGTTCACAAATCGTACACATGGCATGTGGCTTATCAAAACTGGATGAGTCATTAAGAGGACACATGTCAACACTAGGCGGAAAGGAATTGTTTGATTTTAATTTAAATTAAATTTGTTGATGCACAAAATCAGCGAGGACTTTGGTACAACAGAAAGTGTTAAGTTTGTGACCTTCGCTAGATTGCTTCGGTCACTAGTGTGGATAAGTAAGTAAATGGATAGGGACAGGGAAGCAAACACAAGATGTACATGGTTCACCCAGATTGGCTACGTCCACGGAGTAGAGGAGTTCTCATTAATTGTGAAGGGTTTACAGAAGTACATAGGTTCAAGCTCTCCTTTAGTGAGTACTAGTGAATGATTTAGTACAGATGACATTAGGAAATTTATAGAAGAGAGTTTCTAGTTTCATTCTGACATTGACACGTGTCGTGTTGTGATTGGCTTCTGATGTTGACACGTGTCGCGCTATGATTGGCTTCTGATGTCGACACGTGTCGCGCTGTGATTGGCCTCCTGGTTGGAGGGAAATTCTTTTGGGTCCTTGACGGTATAACATTGACGGGTGCTCAGTAGTTTCGGGATTGGTCAAGTATGGTACAAACAAAATTAATTAATTTAAATTTAAATCAAATGAAAAGGCCAAATTGGGAAGTTTTATTTATTTGATTTTTATTTGATTAAATTAAATATTGATTGATGGAGGCAAATCATGAACCAAGCCACAAATCAAGCCTTGGTTCTTCCATCAATTAATCTCAGAATCAAGCCTAAGTTCACCGTATCCAAGGCTTGGAAAACCTTTAAATACAAGGCTCAAAGACAAAGGAAATAGTTCAGGAAATCATTCACACCTAGACGCTAATGCTTTGAAGCTCTAAATTTCTCAAACTCCCAAAACGCTCAAACAGAAGAAAACTCGGAAAACTGCCCGCGTTCTTCACCAAACCCATGAAGAATCATCAAGCACCACCACACATGCTGATTCTTCAAGCCAAACCCTTGCATCATCCATTCATCCAAGATCAACTCATCGTGACCCTTTCTAGCAATTTGTTCAGATAAATATGTGATACAAAGATGACAATAACTAGCTTACTCCTAATTCAAAATCAACTCACAAGTATACTAATAGGTAGAAAGACATGTTTCCAAACTTTGGCACTACCTCGTATTCTATTAGTAATTATGTATATTTGTAAAAATGATATTAAACTAAAATAGGGAAGTACAAGTACATAGGGATATTTATGTAAATATTTCGTAGCATAGAAATAGTAATCATACTTACACATATATACAGATACATTATATATATTAAAATACAGGTATGTATTCCGACTTACTTTGAAAGGCAATGGTGTTTGGATAACTATCAATCCTTAAGGGGAATAAGTCATTTTCAGATACATAGTTAGGGTAATTGTGAGAACATGATTTTTCAGACCCAAAGTAAGGCGGATCGGAATACGAAGACCTTAGAAGTCCAGTCATGGACTCAACAACCTCCCTCAGCGGAGTTGAGTAAATAGAGCGGCGATGCCATCATCATCCTATTCTAGAGCAGTGGGCAAAGTCTAACGACTTCACTAAGATTGACCATGTTTGTTCTGCAAGACACGGGAATATAATCCAGCAAGAAATCAACGGGTTTTCTATATTCTTGGAGTACAATCTTAGCGCCGCAAGTAATCACACTCTTAAGAGATGTAATATCTACTTTCTAGATATCCTCTAGGATTCTCCCTGTTTAATATGGATTCTCTGTCCTAAAAGGTCTCATCCTCGACTAGTATAAATACACCCATCTAGGGTTCATCTCTGGGAACGCAATTATCGTACACTTATTCCCTTGCTTTTCTACTTGAGTCTCATAGTATTGCTTACTAACTTGATCGTAGAAGTGCATTTGACCAACACCAATTCTTGGTCTTTGGCTACTTATGGTTATTTACTATTTTGTAGGTAAACGGATTTCTGCCTCTCTACCATCCATGGCGGTGCATGAATTTAGTTTCAATAATTGTTAAAATAATTTTAATCACTTTTCACAGTTAACATTGTGTTTTGGATAATCATGATAATTAGCTTGAAACTATTGGAAGTTATCATGATGTTTTCTTACGCAAAGATAAATGAGATGTAACATTCTTTAATTTTGAAGCGGAGACAATACCAATTTGAATTGGAATTATCATCGTGGTGGAGATATTGGTCTGGTGAGTGCATAATAAGGCATGGCATATGGTGTATAGAGATTTGAAGAATAGCAACAAGATTAAACAAGAGCCTTATCAAGTGACTTAAGATCACTTTCAATGGAGAAGGCTGAAGGGCCAATGGGTTAAAATATGGTCTAATTTGGACAAAACTCATCTCCAACCAAAGTTTAGACTAAAAATCAGTGGGGTCCATCTAGCCAAAATATCACTAAAGGGCTATTGTGCTAGCCAGAAAATGATCCTCACCAGATCCCTTCCTCCTAATCTACCAAGTTCGGGGATCCGGGTTGTTGAAATTTGATCCAACGGCTACAAAGAGGGGCCCACTTTAAAAGTTATAATAACTTTAGCCGTTGGATCACATTTCAACAGTCCGGATCCCCGAACTTAGTGGATTAGGAGAAAGAGATCCATAAAGGATTCCTTTCTGTGCTAGCCAATCTTTGTCTTGATGCCCAACCTGTTTGGTGGGCCCATTTGCTCTTCAACCTGAGAGAAAAAGCACGAAATGGTCTTATTCTCTACTACAATCCTATGGCTCTCATCGCTGCTTCTTCCCCTTCTTCTTTTCGCCACTGCCAACTTAATCACCTTCATCTTTCTTTGCAACTAGTAAGCCTCCCCTCTCTCTCTCTCTCTCCCTCCCTCCCTCCTTTCTTTTCCACATCAATCACAAACCCATAGTCGCCCCATCCACTTTTCCTACTGTAGGCGTTGACCCCAAATCTCCACCACCATCATCCACAGCACAATCTAACTCATCTCTCTCAATTCGTTAATCAAAAGCTCTAAATGTTTTAATCGGAGGTCGTATGGGTACAGCATAAGGGGATGATGCCGATGAGAATTTGATCAGGAAAAGCCTACTACTTCATGATTGTTATGTACTCAAGCCCAAGGGAAGAGCCCAACCCAAAAGACTAGTCCAATAGGTGGGAGGACCCCAAGGACTTAAGTACCACTACACCATTTCTGGTGTAGCCGATGTGGGATCATAACCTCACATCACCCTTCAGAAGACCCGATGCCCATGACGGCGCACCCTTTGGTCGTCTCGTTAGGGTAGCCCTTTCCAGGTCGCTCCATCCCCAGCGTCGGGAACCTGGCTTTGATACCAATGTTAGGTACTCGAGCCCAAGGGAAGAGCCCAACCCAAAAGACTAGTCCAATAGGTGGGAGGACTCCAATGACTTAAGTACCACTACACCATTTCTGGTGTAGCCGATGTGCAAGGACAAAGCCAGAGATTTATATGAATGAGGGCATCCTCAAACAACAAAGTCATAATTAAAAAGCTCAAGAATTTACTAAACACAATACTTATATATTAATCTAGAAGGTTTTTCATACAACATTCCCTTACAATATCCCTTGACGCATTTTCATGTTCTGAAAGCGTTGCATGATAACATCATTACCAATACCATCAAATATCTCACTCTTTATAAAAATAACCATGTTATCATTCATCCATTGATCATCCATCTGATTTCTCAATCGATTCTTCAGAAATTTCATAGCCGAAAATGCTATTTCAACGATTGCAATAGCAACTAGAAGAGTTAGTGTTAATGTCACAAGCAAGTAAACCAGCGAATACACCTTGGGTTTTTTGCACTGAACCCTTTTTTTCTTTTTTTTGCAAGTTCTCCAATCTCTTTTAAACCTGAAAACTCAATGCTAGATCACATATCCACAATAAAAAAAAAAACAAAGATGGAATTTGTGTTGGGGGGGGACAAGCGGTCCCCCACTATACATACTTTTTTTTTTCAAACATATATGAAACGACGCCGTTTCATTTATTTATTTATTATTTTTTTATAGACCAAAACAACGTCGTTTTGGATTGGATTTAAAAATAAAAAATAAATAAGACCAGTTTGGTCAGAAAAGACAAATTTTTAATTGTTATTTAATTAGTGTTACTCATAGGGAATTAGAATGCATACAACTTTCTCAGTGGGGGCATCCACCCCCCCCTAAGTCCACTGTTGCTCTGCCATTGCCGATGTGGGATCATAACAATGACAACGACATTTTCGAGTTAGCACCAAAAGGAGGTGGTAATTGCCACCTGGGTAAATTATGGAAGTGCATCACTCTTGTTTTTATTTTTAAATAGGATTCTTATGGATGGGGTTTTGTGAGAATGACTTGATTTCGATTTAACCCATTTCACGATGATAGCTGAATAGTTAATACTAGCAATTGAGCCCCCGCGCAATGTCGCGGGTTATACGACCATTTTAAGATGATATTATTTTACATATAATATGTTTAGACTGAAAGAGATGATTTTAAAGTGTTATTTACAAAAAAGATGATACTATGTACAACCAACTCAAATCACATTGACAGTCTGCTCTTTGAGCAAGTTTTTACAATGAAATGGACAAACCAATAGGTTGCAGGAGATGAATGAAATTTCAAATTGATTTACCATGAATGAGTTAATGAAGAATCGACAATAATACTAAACATGGTAGTCATACAGAGTAGGAAGTCATCCATCTATAAGCCAGTCCTCATAAGTTCATTCACTTGCACTATTCTTCTAGTGTCTGATAAAGAAAATGAAGTTCCTGTAAGTACTCCCTAACCATATGAGCAATAAAATCTTTTAAAAGGAATCCTAATTTTCTCCACATTAAAGAAAACCATAAAAGCATTACTAATCACTATATCTGCAAACCAAATCTCTTTTTTTGTATCTGCTAAAGTACACATATGAATATCAAAATGAAAACCTCAAATTATTATAGCATTCCCTTTCTATCTTAATTTTTGAAAAAGGAAACACAATGGAAGAAAAAAAAATCGACAATTTTATCTCGTAAATCATTACTACATAGAGTCAAAAGCACTTCAATTATGGAAGGAGGGAAAAGAGGTGCAAATAACTGGTGCTCAATAGAAATCACTGCCTAGTCATCAACTCTTTGTAAGCAAAGATTAGAAAAGTTTAGGATCTAGCATGATAATTTAAGTTACTTGAGATTTTTCAATGTTCGCAATCATTCTGCTACTATATAAACTGATGTATTCTTCGAAAGAATATAATTGGTGTGTACTTATACGTAACACCACATAATTAGCCTTAAAATCAATATGCAGAACTTAATTAACTTGCACAACACTCATTTTATTGCTTACTCACCAACTTAAATATTGGCTCTTAGATAAGAGATGTAATGGTGACTTCATAGCCTTATACGATGCTCGGTACCAGAAATTGCAGAACCTCCAAAACTCTCTGAATACCCAAAATTCACAGTTATATAATCAACAGAACCCCATGGAAAATGTTCCATACAATAGTTTTCAATACTGTTAACAAAATGCACATGTTTATTCAGGGAGTTAAACAAAATGTAAATCTTGGTATTCTTCCCTAAACTATAGAAGCCTCGCTAGACTTAAACTCTTTTCAATCTACCCCGAGTTAGTAACGATCTACTGTAGGTTCTTTTGGTCTAGATAGCCATTGAATGCAATCTGAGCGTCATGGTTACCTGATGCATGGTGGTTTAATTGTCATCTGCTGCTTTTTGAGATGGAAATGGACTAATTCTTGTCTTTAGCTTACTGATATCAAATTCAGCTTGGTTCCAAACGCACTGCAAAAGCTAATTGAAAGTTAATGACATCTTTACAAGCAAACAATAGTTTAATTAGTCATAAAATTTGATTAGCTCTGCATCACAGAGATGAGAGCACCATATAAACTTAGGTCCCTAAATATTTTCAGCAAGTCAAATGACAATATTCTAAAAACGAAAACTACATTCTGGTTCTCAAATTCTAAGCTACGAAAGGCCTGAAGTTGAAATAAAGAAGTGCTGTCAGAAATAACAATTCTGATTTGTTTTGGTCCTATGATCGTTCACTCCCAAATTATCAGATTCTCAATACCATTTTTTCAAAACCTTGCAACTCCCAAATCATCATATTCTTAATACCATTTTCTTAAAAACTTGCATACAACAACTAACCTTCTATTGTTTTCAATGTTTAAAGATTACCAAGCAGTGTAAATTTTAGATCTTTTCTTTAAAGCCAGAGTGACACACCCCGTCCCGAAGGAGGGCATGCTGGCCGTCACGTGAGAATGACGTAACCATTTGCACAGTACGGAAGCTTTTAAATACAATTTACAAGTTGATACACCCGAAGGTGAGTCCTAATTTTGTCCAATCTGTCAGAACACCGTCAAATTCCTCGTAGTCACCACACCTTTGTGATTCCTGAACCTGGAGGGGCGCAAAACCAAAATTGAGTGGGTCAGTAAAACAATTCTTTTCCAAATCCAAACATTTCTCAAAACGTTGTAACCCCTCTCCGTAAAACCTGTATACTTTCCCAGAAATATAAAATATAAATATACATATATATATTCTCAATACTTCAATTCATTAACTCAACATTTTCATCATAATTATGCCATGCCACATCATCTCAACATTTCTCATATTAATTATGCCATGCCACATCATCTCAACAGTAATAAGGTATGAATGCATCAACATAAATCATATCAGGTGCAATAAGATAATCAACCGGAGGCCCTCTATTAGCCCGGTTGAACCTAGAGCTCAAAATCTATCACTCTCACACTCTGCCGGAGTCACTCCGCGTGACCTGTACGGCCTTCTGCACACAAGTTACGCTCTAGTGCTTCTCATAAATCATCTGTGCACATAATCTAAGGTCACCCACCAGTCGGAATCTCACTAACACTCTCGCGACTGGCCTGTCGTACCCACTCCGCGTGGACTGTACGACTAGCATCTACTTGGATCCAAGACGAGCGTCCGATGCGGTGAATACTATAAGCACTAAACTATGGTGCAGGATTTGAGCTCAATATACATCAACATCATCATAACAGAAATAAATACTCACATGTGCGTCCACCGCACCATTTCATACATATGCATCATAAATCAATTCTTACCTGTGCGTCCACCGCACCAATTCATACATATGCATCATATATTAATTCATGCATGGCATTTCAACTCACATTTCTATATACTTTTCATATCAATTCTATGCATGGTATTTCACTTTCCGTTTTTCCACATAACTCATATGCATTTCATTTTAAACATATTTTCATTTCAATTCAATTTCTGGGAAACGTCAAGTATATATATATATACGGAAAACAAAACTGCCCACTCACAGATTACATCGACGTCTCGTAAGTCCCTGAGCATCCCTTGGCCATGCCCGATGCCCGCATAAGCCTCACCTATACAAAAGTAACCAATTTGGCGTTATTTAACGCCTAACCCAATTCTTAGCTAATAACTCCTCATATATTGCTCAAATTGGGTATATGAATATACCACCGTGACCTACACAACCTCAGGATCATCCCCATATTTTTAAAATAATTTTTGGAGGTCTCACGCGCCCCCACGCGCCTGACGTGGCACGGACCTACGCGCCCCCCACGCGCGGCCACGTGCCATGCACACTGACGGCACAGTAACGGCAGTTAGGGAATATTCCGTTAAATCCTAGCATATTCCGTTAAATAATTAACGGCGTCAGTCACGCCGTTAGCATATTCCGTCAAAACTGACGGAATATTCCCTGTCTTCTCCGGTGAGTTGCCGGTCGTCGGCGACTGTTCACCGGTTTCTGGAAAATTTTCAAACTTGCTATTCTCCTTCGTTTTTCATCCATTTTTCACGTAATTTATACCAAATTGAAGCCCTAATCATAACCTATCACGATGGACTAATTTTAAGCTTCAAAAACAACGGGATCAAACTTTTCAAAAATATGAAAATTCGGCCTACCTTTGAACTAGGTGATCCCGACGTCCAATTCATGCCAACGAAGCACTCCGAGCTTCCTTGGGACTTCCTTAAGCTCACTGTGAGCTTAGTTTGGCCTAAAACACAACCAATTCAAAGCTCATGAACAGTACACTTTCACGGGAAGTTTAGAATCTAGGTTTTCCGAAGTAAAACTTACCTGAAATTGGTGTCTACGTGATCGTGGAGGTTCCAGGAGTTCGATGGTGGTCTTAAATGGAACGTTGGTACAAGATTGTGGTGGTTCTTGGTGGTTGCCGTGAGTTCGAGAGTAAGAGAGAGAGTGAGAGAGTTTTCTGAGATGAAAGAAGAAAAAGAGAGAGAAGGAGTTACGGGTTTTAGGGAGGGAAATATGGAATGGGGATCCCACGTGGCCCCTTCTCAGTCTTTAACTAAAATTAATACAATAAATGTAAACCTAATTCTAAGTTCTTATCCCACAAGATATTTTAATTAACCAAAAGTTATGAACTTAGATTGAACCAACTTCACACTTACGCACCTTGTCACGTTTAAGGTTATTTTCGTACTTTCACGTCCTCGGAATTTATAATTCCGGGACGGGCTGTGACACAGAGCAGATAGACAAACTAATTGTAAAAAACACATAAAACAGAGAGAAAAAAAGGATACCTGGGATAGATGGAAACTTGTTTGCAATTTCCCATGTATATCCATAGCATGATTTTGAATTAATCTTCACAAAAAATAAGTTTTGCAGGACACACAATATCAAGGAAAAAAGGGTATACAGAGATAATGATAGATTGTGGGATGTTGTGATAGGCTTCTTGTTAATACTATATGTTACATCAGATTCTTTATAAACACCTCTAGGTAACAAAAGTAAGCATTCTTCACTAATTAACTATCTCAAATGGGCTCAATTTTCAGTTTAAATTTGGTCAACCGTTTGGAGTGCCTAAGGTTTTCAAATTCTTCATTTCTTAAATCGACTTAAAAGAGAAAAAATTAAAATGAAATTAAAAAGGTGAACCTGCTGGTCGCCGCCGTCACCGATGAGGAGATCGAGGGGATTGATTTTAGCTTATCGGTTGAAAAGTTGGCTTTCTTCTTTCTTCTTCCCATTCGGGTTCTACCAGTAGTTCCAACCACGTGCCATTGGATCATTATCCAAATAATAACATAAAAGTCGTAGGAAGCTGGAAAAAAATTTAAAAAAAAATTCTACCACATCAAGTTCAAGCCTCCACTTACCACAAACTAATGTGTGCAGACTGGGCATTCATGTGGCTTCCCTTTCTCCAGCCAAAACCAAACAACATCATGCTCATCCTCTGCAATTAAAATACAACAAAAAAAAGACATCAAAATGATAGGAATAAAAATTTAAAAGATTCTTTTTTTCTCAGATTCTCATTCTTCTCTAATCAAATCAGCTTACCCTTTTCAAAACCCTACAAATAACAGATGGAAGGGTTTATGCATACCCAAATTCAACCATTAGAGAAAAGGCAGTGGCGATGGACTTCTGGAGAGATAAAGTGGTTTGAAGGAGGAGAGAGAAATGGAATTTTGGAGAGAGATGGAATTTAAAGAGAAAGAAAGCAGAAAGGCTAGCGAGAGGAAGAAAGAAGGAAGACATTTAGTGGATTTGTGTTTGTCGTTCGTGGGTTCCGATTGGAGAGATATGCACTGGAAGGAAATGGAAATGTTTACTGAACCTTCGATCAAAAACACGCGTCCACGATAAAAAACACGCGTCCACCATGTGTAAACCTAGCAGAAATGAAATTAAAAAAATTAAACAGGAGCAAAATCGTCATTGCACTGTGCTTATGAACAGTGATTCAGTGTGTTTTCAGTTTTAGTATAGATTGAATTTATTGAGTTGGTGAATTAAGTTAGTGATGAATTTAAAGAATTAATTTAAAAATAATAAATTATTAAGAGGTTATGTTTAGTCTCTTTGATTGGAGATGACATATGAATATGGTCCGTAAATGTTCATTAAAAAATAATTTTCTACAAGGCTATAATTCTGAATAGGTCTATATTTAGCTCATTCGGTTGGAGATAACCTAAATACCTAGCTTGAATTGAAGGAAAGCATAGCCGCCAAACGTTTTCGAGATATCAAGATGATGGTGCGGTGCTTTAGTGCTTTCTTTTTTAAGAAAACTAACCAAAAGGGCTTCAAAATTTTGAATTTTAACCAAAAACCATATACAAACTTTATTTAATGATAAGGACAAGAAATAAAAAAATATAAAACAATCCAACCCAACCGCGTGTAAGCACGCGCCTACCAATTCAATTATCAAATCAAGCCTCTGCTATGACTGTGAGCAGATAGAACTAATAAGAAGACTAACGTGCAGTGCAAAATAAGTAGTGGGAGTAGTACAATGAATGATGAGATGGAATGGATGGATGAAATAAATTATTTTTAAAACATTTCATTGGGAAGGAAAACGTGAGAAAGAAGCTTCAATGGCTTTTATTCTTTTAGAGAGGGAGAGAGAGAAATCTATTTACGTACAGAAAGAAAGAAAAGAAAAGTAGTAATTTTCAACAGAAAATCAATAGTGCAAAAGCAGCACCTAAATTACTTTTTAAATATTTCATCGGAAAGGAAAAGGTTCAGAGAGAGAGAGAGAGAGAGAGAGAGAGAGAGAGAGGGAGTGTAAGGAAGAGATTGTGAGGGTAGAGCCAACCAAATCCTTTCAAACTGACATCAACAAACTCCAAAAAAATTTAAAAAGAGAGAGAAATTTGAGATAAAAAAAATATTTTGCTGACATCAATACATGACAGTAATTTGTAAGGAAATAGTTTAAAAAATAGTGATAGTGCTAATGTTCGATTTTAAGAAATAGTCAGTGTTTAATTTACGAAATAGTTAGTTTTTTGTTTAAGAAATAGTTAGTGGTTAGTTTATGAAATAGAAACAGTACTAGTTTACGAAACAATGATAATACTAGTGTTTGGTTTGAAAAATAGTCAGTGCTCAGTTTACGAAATAGTGATAGTATTATTACTTGGTTTAATATATAGTGTATTGTGTTCAGTTTAATAAATAGTCAGTGTTTAGTTTACGAAATAGTAATAGTACTAGCGTTCAGTTTAAGAAATAGTCATTGTTCAGTTTACGAAATAGTCAGTGTCTAGTTCAAGAAGTAATGATAGTATTAGTGTTCTGTTTAAAATATAGTTAGTGTTTAGTTTAAGAAATATTGTTCAGTCTAAGAAGTAGTCAATGTTCAATTTAAAAAATAGTGTTCCGTTTAAGAAGTAGTCAATGTTCAATTTAAGAAATAGTGTTCAGTTTAAGTAGTCAATGTTCTGTTTAAGAAATAGTCACAATATTAATGTTCATAAAATTGAATAATGAAAATTTTCTTTATTTTTTGATTTTGTAATATTATTACTTAGTTTGTTCTAAAACAATTCAAAAAATAGTCAAATACACAAATAATAAAATAAAAATAAAATGTTTATGGTGCGACGTGAAAGGAGAGAGAAGAGTGGGGAGAGGTGAAAAACAAAAAAGAAAAAAGAAAAGAGAAAAAGTTGATGTAGATGGGTGAGGTGAAATGAGAGAAAAAAATGAATGGGAATATATGAAAGAGGAAGAGAGAGAAAGAGGTTGAACGGCTAAGTGAGAAAGAGAGTGTGTGTGATGTGAAGCACGGGACCGCACATCAGTATATGTTTTTATTTGTTTTATCTGTTTTGTTGTTATGTAAAACTTTTGTCATTTTCATTAAAATTTGAATCCTTTTTATTAAAGTTTAAGCCCTTTTTATTAAATAAAGTTAGTAGATGGTTTTTGGTTAATTAAAAGTTTTGAGAAGCCATTTTCATTAAAGTTCCTTTTTTTTATTTGTAATTACACAATTTGGCTAAGTAAGCATTCAATCTCTATAAATACAAGAAGTTTGGCAACATATAAAGGATCTCCAACTCAATACACAAACCAATACTCTATGTGAACACTTTCACACTTTTGAGAAAAATACTAACTGTTTTTACTGACACTCAACACAAATTTAGTTTGGCTAAACCGATTTGGCAGTCGATGGACGACGACAACATAGTTAGACAGTGTTTTCTAGAAGCAACCAATGAATATGACAATTTGATTAAATAACGTCAGAGTTGTAGAATTAGTTCGGTTTCGGAGGCTTAACGGTTTGGCTAAACAACAAGTTTCCTAAGCTTGACTGATTATTTATCCCAAGTCTTTGAGGTCAAGAGTCTTTGATTATTTTGCCAAATGAGGTCACTTAATTAGTTTTCTCGGCAAAGTAGAGTGTTCTATGATAGGATATTTTTAAGGTGACATTCAAAGTTCGACATATCGGCAACTGAATCACTTTTACCACAAAGACACTCATCCTTTTTTTAGTATCTTTGCACCTGCAGTTTGATATCTATTATGCGAAACCATATTTTTATCAATATAGTTGAGGCTGCCGAATCTGGTGTAGAGGATTTTGAACTTCACCGCGATCTGTATAACCTTGTTTGCAGGTTTTAGAACCCAAGGCTAATAGTGTTTCCTCGGCCGAGGTCGCCTGATTCAGAAGTTAAAAGCGTATTCTATCACATAACCACACTCAGAAGTATTTGCTCACGCTCCATGTAGTGTAATTTTTAAGGTCAACAGGTGTATGAAGGGTAGTTTAGGAATAAGGGTGTGTAATTCTTAGAAAAAAGTAGAATTCGAAATTTGTAATGAGTAGATAAAAATGTGGATGAACTTAAATAGGTGGAGGTGTTTAAAATAAAAAACTCTTCCTATATAATTCACATGCTGGGTTTGTCTTTTGCTATTGGCCTTTGCTTTGGAGTTTGTTCTCCTTTGTTTTTTGGTCTGATGGAACGTGTCCTCATTGAAGACACTGGTGGGTTTTCCTTATTATACCAGACAATTCTCCTTTTTTCGACTTTGCGTACCGTACTAGGAAAATTGTGTACTGAATCTAGTCGCTATAGCAGCTAGACAAAGATCTCAAATGTGCTAATCGATGAGGCTAAGATACTTTCTGCTGTACTAATCGATGAGGCTAAGATACTTTATGGAGTACTTCCGGCAAAGTCGAATACAAGCACGTGAGTAGGGACGCGAACGGTGCTAACAATTAACAGAGTGGCCATCGGAAGATTCCTGCCCTCGTATTGAGACTCTCGGAACCAAACAAAGTCTTCGTGCGGCTGCAAATCTCTAAAGCATTTGAGCTCTTTCTATTGGTTGCTATGGCGATACGATTCGCTAAACATTTTATTTTTATTTTTATTTTGTCAAACATAGCTAATTTGATTAAATAAAATACTAATCCAAGGTTAGGAAAGTTGAAAAATAATTCAAAACAACCAAGTAAGAGTACAACTTAAAACAAAGAAAATACAAGAAAACGAGCCCAATAAGAGGTTCCATAACAGCACTAAAATAGAACCCTAGATCTTGGGTAGGTAAAGCAGCCACCTCCACCCAAATAGCCACACCACCATCGTGAAGCCACTGCCACTGTGAAGTATGTTGGATATAAGTCAACAATCTGTGATAATTTATATATGCTAATAAATAATAAATGCAATAGAAACTAACAAAATATAAACTAGAATATGAATTATAAAACAGACAACTTGAAGATCGAAGCTTGCGTACCGCAATGTCCTTGAAACAGAAATTTCGTCCCTACTCTGTGCTTGTAGTTCTACGGACGTCTGCTTCACCAGGATTCAACGATCAAGTTAAAATTCCAGCACCGGAAAATTTAACTTCTGGCGAATTTAGTGTGGTTCTCTCAGTAAGAAGGTTTATGAATGTAGAAGATGAAGTTTATTATTTCTGTGTTCTAAATGCTATGCAGATGTATGTATATATAGCAGATAGATGCCTGTTTGCAACAGGTATGAGAATGGGGTGTGACTGTTGGGAGACATCTCTTCAGAAGGGTGCTTTGCTCTGTGTTCAGAAAGAACTCTCAGACTTCATCTGAAAGGATGAGTCTTTTCATAAAAAAATAATTAATTAATTAAATTCGAATTTAATTAAAAAATAATTAAGTAAATCCGAAAAATAATTAATTAAATAATTTAATTATTAGAGCCCCAAGGCCCATCTTTTGACAATTAAATATATATTAATTATATATTAATTATAATTAATTATATATTAATTACCAATTAATTATTACACCCCAAAGCCCAACCCCAAGGGTGAGCCCAATTTTAGTCTCCAGGCCTATTACTCCAATCACTTTCTTTAAAGGACAAAACCTTATAAAGTGATAAAATCTTTTGGGAATGGCCAATGTGGGACAAGGAAATTTCTACTCAAACTCAAATTTCCAACAATACCCCACATTTGAGTTGAAATTTCATTCAAACTCCAACAATGACCCCACATTTGAATGCAAATGTAAATGCAAATGTGTGACTAGGCTGCCTAAAACTGAGAGAGAATAGTCATGATATGCATCGGGTGAAGTGTCTTTTGGACTTGAACTTACCCTAGTGAAAACATATCGGGTTTACTTGGTGACGCAGTGGATGTGGAAGATCTTGAACTGTTCACCGCAGTAGTAAACCAAGACAATATGCTACACACATATCATGGCTGCCACACGTCAATTCATACGGTTGTGTTCATTTTGGCCCTGAACAGATCCCGGATTTCATAGGAGCTTTAGAGAATTTAGCCATGTCAATTCTCATAAATGTGGCCCCC